CTGCTTTAGAGATGCTCCACCCTGTGCATTCCTTGATTCTAATAAGCAATACAGTATTTAGTGAAAGAGCAGGTGTTAGTTAGGGAACACATTTGCAGAGCAGTTCTGAACTGCCAGAAAAGCAAAGTACTTTTCATCAGCTAATCTGGGGTATCTTCTCTTCGTGGTAACAGCAGCACCTATGTTCTGATTAATTTGTACAGAAGTAGAAACAGCTGCCTCAGACAGGGGTAGGCCTGACAGATCCCACGACTTTCAATCCAACTAACAGGTACAATCTGCTGCCTTGGAGAGGCCGCAAACGGCTCGGTGACAATTCCAGCTGACATAATGCACAGGCTTCTGCTGAGCTACTGCACCCAAAGCGCAACTCAGCAGCCGCTGTGGGTGCCCTTCGTGTTGGGCTGCGAGTGGGAGGCCCTCGTGGTCCGCGCGCACCAGAGCCCAGCGGCACCTCTCACCTCAGCAAACCTCGAAATGACTCAGCTCTTTGTGCGCCTTCCTGATGCCAAGTCTGAAAGCATCTCTTTTTACAGGATAAAACTAGTTGTAGCTCAATTATTGAATTTGTCCCGCAATGCAACAGGAGAACAATGCCAAATTAAAGTAGGCTGGCACAAGGGGCATCCATAGTTAAGACTGAGGAACACAAACACAGTAGGTTCCAATGCTGAATTAGGAGATATAGATATAAAGCCCTACTGTGATGCTCTATATGAGGGGTTGACATACAGGAGTAAAGAATAAGGCAGATGTAAGGGAAAACTGACATGTGTTATCTGAAGTATGCATCAAAAGCCACTAAAACAGCTGTGATTCATCTCTCATATGCATGATAAAGCCTATTATTTTACAATTAATCACTTGTTTAAAGATCCACGACGAAACCGTATGACGGCAAAGGGCCCTACTTCAGAAGGGAGAGCAATGGAAAGTGCGTTACCCACGTTTTCTGCCTTCAGAGGTGCAGGAGCCTTGCAGTAGCAGGTCAGAAATCGAGCCACTTCCTCCCGCAAACTGGGAAAGACACAGAAGCAAATATCCATTCAGCTTCCTCTGCCAGAGACAGGGCTGCCCCAGGTCCACCACTCAGGAAAATAAAGCCAGTTACAGCAAGGACTGAGGAATGTAGCTAGAAAACAGGAGAGCTCAAGCACCATAAGCGCAACTTCTACATGTGGCAAAGGTGTCACTGATATGGCCTGTAACTGTAGATGTATTTTTTAGTAACTTGAATCAAGACACATGACAAAAAGGTTACAGTCCCCAAGCGTTCACTGTCTTTCAGTGAACTGTTTCGAGTTACCTAAGTTGTTAACATATAGAGTGCTTTCAGAATTGTGAGGTTTTTTAGAAAATTAGCATCTTCTCCCATACATGTGGATTGTTAACTGTATGAAATGCTGGGGTAGCCAATTAGAAAAATTCTAACTGATCACTGTAGTGATCATACATGTGGTTTGTATTTATATATAAATAATGTATAAATAATTTATATAAATAAATATATGTGGTTTGTATTTATCCATTCTGTTCATCAGAGAAGCACTCAAAAAGAGGAGCGCTATGGAAATGAGAAGACTTACAACATATGTCCCTTCCAGTCAGGATACTGAAGCAGCGGCGGCTCCATGAGATTCATATCAGCCTGTGTCAGCTGTGAGCAACAAGAAAACACATTAAAAAACACAATCTCTGATACCAGAAACATGGAAATAGGCAGAATCCATGTACAGGCACTAACCTTCCTGGACGCACATGCAAACACACAGAATTCAACAGCCTTAAAACTGGATTTAGAAAGCCACTGACCATCAAAATTAATGCAAAAAATCTTCACTGCCTGGAAGTCTATAAGAAGGATGCAGACATGGGCAATACAAAGGAGGCCCCCTAAGAAGACACCTTTCTGGAACAAATGAGGCAACCTAAAAAGTCCCAAGGATCGTCTCACCCAAGTTTGGAAGACAACAGCTTTCAAATGGGAATTAAATCTCCCTCATTAAAGCTCTAGAATCATGAAAGCTCAGGTCTAGGTTGCCAGAAAAAGATTTTAATTACCGTTAGATACATATTTTTTAAAAAGCTTTTGATCGATTTTTTTTTCCCAAATAAATTCCAGCTTTAATTTATGTCTCTGTTCAAGTTACTGCAGTTCCTTCCGATCCTTAATTCTAGCAAATTTGGTAAGTTTTATAATATAACAGGAGCATCAAAAGATAAGAGAGATATACAATTATCTTCTTGACTGTCTTCCTCTGGGCAGATATTCTGTGGCTTGTTAGTAGCTGGTTGTGGTCTCAAATACAGATTTGCCTGAACTTTAGACAATCTCCGAGACCCATTTTATGTTTATATTTACATAAATTACATATATTTTTATCAGAATATTTAAAGTTGTAAATATCAGGTTTTCATATAATCCAGTTCTATGACGTTGCAAAGGGAAGCACAGTGGTCATCAGGATGGAGAAAAGAGAATAAACAAATGCTACATGCAGTGCACCTTCCAAATATATGATGACAACCAAATATAGGAGTTGATATTAAAAGCGGGGTCTGTGGAAACAAGTAGGCAGGACAGCCACAGAGGAGGCGGGAAACTGAACGTCTGAACATGCAGTGTGGAGGCTTATCACATAACAACAAAACCACGACGTTTGGTGTTCGTGTTTGGATAGCTTGTGTCAAGCTCTGGAGGTTAACAACACTGTCCTTGTCCCACGCAGAATTACAACCTGCTATTGTAGGATTAGAGTTCCTTTATTCACGTGCAGATACCTCTGGAAGCCCACGCAGCACAGAACTGTGCCCTCTTAGTTTGCTCTCCTAAACTGCTCTAGGGACTGCCACACAAAACACATCAGCTAACCTGGCCAAAAATTACTGTGCAATAATAAAGATGAGAATCCTTAAAGGCAATGCTGTAAGGGCTAAGAAAAGCAGACAGGGCAACCAAAATGAAGAACATCAGAGACCGCATGACATTGAATATTCTCCAATTAAAGTATCAAAAGTTAAGAATAGAACTCTGATATGCTACTTTACCTAGTGGAAACAGAATTTACTGTCCCACACAGCAAGAACTTGGGAGTGCTACAGGCCTGGACAGTCGTGCTTTCAGTAAACCCATGCTGTAACTCCAGAATGTGCTGGTTAAGAAGCTGAAAACAGCACCTTTATTCACCTTGTTGCCTCAAGCATGTTGGTTCATCTGACTATGGCCGATGAATTCTTAACTCATTTCCACAATAAGGCTAACTGAGATGCAAATGACTACAGTCTCCCTCCAGACTTTGTTAGTTTGAAGGTGAAAGGACAGAGTGAAGGAAGGCAGCTAAAAGCTACACACCCTGGAAGGCCCCTTTGTGGGGGCCCTGCTGCCAGGCAGCGGTTCTGCCTTACCTGTTCCTTTAGCTGCAAGGCGAGTGGCGGGGTACGTCCCCCCGAGGCAGTGGCGTGGCAAGCACAAATAAAACAAGGAACATTTTGAGGGTGGGTGCAATGGGAGTAACAGTGAACTTCACACCACAGAGACCAACTGCCAGGGACTGTGGCCCCTTCCCTCCCCACAGACAACTGCAGGCAGGAAAAATTGCAGTATTCCCACCTAGGAGTCTGAATCTGGGTAATAATTTTAATGAAAATCAAGAAGCATTTCTCTAAGGCACAGTGTTTTTGTTTCCTTCAGGATTTTTTCTTTTTCAGTTATGCCACTTGCATCACGCCTTTCCCTGGTGCAACTAAACAAAGCGACCAACTAGCAGCTGACCCAGTTCAAAGGATTTCAAGAGGATTCACTCACTGGTGCCACCCTCTCAAATTTGGGGTAAGTTCAGAACTGGATGTCCAGAGTGTATAACTCTCTCATGAACAGGGTCAACCGTCTCTGTTCCAATATCTGAAGATTATTGAAATTAAACAGTTCAAAACTACTTTTGAAGCCTCTGTATTAAATGAACTACTGTCAGCAGAAGAAAATAAAATGCATCTTATTTTCATTTTGTTTTGTGAGCCAAACACATTCCCAGAGGCAAATCCACAATGAAGGAGAAAACAACCTCTGTTCCTATTCTTCTGGAAAAATAACATAAAGCAAAGTGCAAATAGCTGGACAGAGAAGTGACAACAACAAATAAAAAAAAATGAGAAGAAAAATTTACCAGAGAAATCTGAGCACCAGCAATAACTCAAGAAAAGCATAAACATCAAGGAAGAACTACACAGCACATTTCTTTTTGTAATGTGACTTACCCGTTTAGACATCAGGTCAAAGCAGAGTTTATTCTCACTAGTGCCAAAATTAATTATACCCTAGAAAAAGAAATAATGTATTGTTTATAGACACATAAAACAAGTGCACACCTTACCTTAGTTATCACTTCACTGATCTGCTTCAGAAGTTACCAAGAGAAGTCAAAACACGATTCACACAAACAGCAGCTCCCAGTCAACACACTCTCCATACCTCAGTGCATACTAACAGTTTCACCTCTCGAGAGGTGATTCAGCAGGGCAAAAATGTATGGATATCTAAATACGTATGGAAATCTAAACACTGCATGTTTATAATGTTATTAAAGTGCACCTCCAGTCTTAGGTATTTATTTGGAAGTCTACTGCCTCTATATGCTCCAGTTAGTGGAAGAGGCAGTGAGCACCTCATCCGGCACCGCTGGTATTGGAAAAGGTGCTGTATGTTTGTATCTTAAAGTCAGGTCTAACAAGGAAACATTTTACACTGTCCAGTAACTTGGCATTTGAATGCAGGATCTATTTAAAAATAATCCATGGAGAAATCCTTACTTATATTTACTCGATCTATCGAATATTATTCTACCTTACGAACACTCAGCATTTGTGCCACATGGGGGTGTGTTACCAGCTGCGTCAAAGCAAATAGTAAAAGGGAAACACGTGGACGGAGTCCTTATGTTACCTTAGAAAAAAAATCACATTTTTATCTGAATGTTTGCTACTGGGTTGTTCTATCTCTTGCACCATCACCAGTAACAAGCAGCTAATCAGTGATCATCCTTCTGTGGACAGCAAAAATGACAGGTGAAAGGAAGCGCAGGGGGTCTGCGTGTTCCCGCAGATTTCTACTACCTTGGAAGCAGGGTCATGGTCGCCAGCTCCTGATAGGAACTTGAGAGCACACAAACCTTCGCTGGACAGAAGGCATCCTTGATCAATTACCTGCATAGCTACTCTTCCTTTCTTTCACTGAAGCAAAAACGTTGACCCTACATGTATTTGTGAGACTTAAAAAAATCAAGCTCATCTGCCAGCAAACCTCTACGAAAGAGCTTTTTCCTAGTAAGTAAGCCACATAAATACTTCAGAACCTCACTCACGTTGGGGTTCTTCTCTTCATCATACTTGTCGGCGTGGTAAGCTGTGTAGCCCTCCTCCGTGGAGCCGAGGAAGACGCTGGCGATGTTGCCGCGGGCCGAGAGGTAGGGGCTCCGGCGGAACGCGCGGGCGCCGCCGCCCCCGGCAAGCTCACACAGAGCCTGGCCCAAGTCCAGGCCCTGGGGCACCGCCAGGGATGAGGAAGAGCCATTGTGGCCCTGCTTGAGGATGCTGAGCATCTGAGCAAAGACACTGAACATGCGGAACTCGTGCTCCCGCTCCAGCTCAAAGCGCCGCTGCTCCAGCTGCATCCGGCGCTCCTCCATGTCGGTGTCCCGCTGGAAGCGGCGCTCTTCCAGCTGCAAGAAGCGCTCCTCCATGGCCCGCTGAGAGGCCAGCGTCTTCAGGAGGAGCTCGTCAAGCGGGTCCTTCACCCGCTGCCCCTTGCGCTTCTTCCTCAGGCGGTGCAAGGCAGAGAAGCCAGGCCGAGGCACCACGTTCTGCATTCGCGACGGGTTTGCCATGCTGGGCTCACTGAAACCTGGAGACATTCAAAAGGGAGAAGAAAAAAATAAATACGCAGTAAATAAACCACTGTGAACGTGCTTGCTGCCTGCCTTTACCCTTCATACCAAACTAGCTACAGAGAAATCTTACAAGAAGGCTGAAGTAAGATCTGTCAGGCACACCTTGGAAGTCTGCAGCAAGTACAGGGGGTTTTTTGGGCCTCACATAATGGGCATCCCCTTTTCTTGCCAGGCACTGAACTAGTTCAGTATTCAATCCCTGAATTAACTTTAGTGGCTGTGAGTTCACTCTACCAGCACAACACTGGGCTAACTGCACAATCATCACAACGGAGATGACACAGAACTTCTTCCCGACCTCCAAAATTAACCCCACATCGATTATCACCTCTTTTCTTCTCAATCGTGCCACATTCTTCCATCAACCTGCCCTAAACCAGTTTGAAACCATCTCTGTGCTTCCCAGATTCTGTTCTTGGCAGCCAAGTAATCTGTGAATTGCACTGTCAGTTAAAAAAAAAAAAATAAATAAATCTCTTTTTCTTTCAACAGGTCAGCCATCCCTACCAGTGATTTTCAAAGGCTTCTTCTTCCTAAGCACTAATCAGTGGATTGGGAAGCCAGGCAATGATTACTCCCAGTATTCTTCTTTGTTGAGTGTCCCAAAGAACTAGATCCAAAACACATTGGAAAAGGAGAAAAGTTTCACGGGCCCAGTGGGTACTGTGCTCCCGAAGGAAGAGGGTCTCCCGACACAGTTCGGCACGAGGACGGCTCACGGTGCAGGTGTGCAGTGCTCAGACAGTGCCAAGAGCAAGTTCTGCTTCAACGTGGTGGGCTGGCAGCAGAGAGGCAGCACAGATGTCTACCCCAGTGCACAGCAGACGCAACACACTTAGGATTGCAGACACACTGCTTAGCCAAGCACAAAAATTCCGGATTTCAATTACCAGCAGTACGACACGTTGCCAGAAGGCTGCTAACACAGACACCATCCTGCTACTTTAAAGCTTTTGGGGACAGGGAAATTAAGGCTCTAGACAACAATACCGAAAGCAGGTGCCTGTCTCGGCACCAGAAGGAGACTCTCTTTCTGGGGAAGAGGGCAGAAACCTCACGCCACTGCACAAAGGCCGTCCCTACCTGAAGGCGAGGCACTGGTTTCAATGGGGATCTCCACCCTGGAGACGGAAGAGTCGCTCGGGGCCCTCTCCAGGAAGGCTCGCTCCATCTCGCGCTCCTCGACAGAGCCCTGCTCGTAGGACAAGGACGCCGGGTGCTCAGGGGTCAGGCCGCGCTCGTCTGAGTTCACCTCCTCACACTTGATCTCCATGAGCTCAGCGTGCTGGGCGCGCCCGAAGGGCAGCGCCGACGGGCCGAAGGGGCCATAGCCATCTACAACGGCGGCAGGCAGCACCTGCGGGGCCACCACGCTGGCAGGCAGCACTTGTGGGGCCACCACACCGGCGGGCAGCACCTGCGGGGCCACCACGGCGGCGGCGCCCAGGGTGCCGTAGGGCAGCGCCGGGCGGCTGTTGAGCACACGGTCCATGAGTTCGTAGAACTTCCAGGTGCGCCTGCCCCGCGGCGCCTTGCCGCTGTCCTTGATGCGCCGGTACTCCAGCTTCATCTTCTTGATCTTCTCGCGGCACTGGTCGCCCGTGCGCTGGATGCCCTTCTCGCGCAGCACCTCGGCGATGCGGTTGAAGACGTGCTGGTTGCGCAGGCAGCTCTCCAGCTCCAGCTGCACCGACTCGTCGGCCCACAGCTGCAGCAGCTCCCCCACCTCCAGGTCCGACCAGTTGCTGCCCCCCTCGTACTTCTT